GAAACATACAGCTTACAACTGTGATAATTAAATCGGTAGTTGCCAACTGATGGTTCACGAGATTGTTGTTAAAGATACACATGCATTTTGTCTAATATTTTATAAAATACTAAATTAATTAAATGTTTTACCTAATTTGTATTTAGTATTGTTGCATAGTATGAAGGCCAAATCTTTTTTACTAAAAGAATCATTAAAGGAACCATTAAGTAGTCGGGATCATTCAATTCTTAACGATTCTCATCCCCACCAAAGAGTCTTTCGTTTTTAACTCCAGAACTTGAGAGACATTGTGAATTGCACCTACAGCAAGTATCGATTGTCGAGTGTGGGAACCCCAGGAAACACAGACCTTCATGATTGTTGTTGGAGATAATGGATACACTGAGGGCTACAGCAGGACATGGACCTGGAAAACCTAAAATTTAAGTGGACGCCAAATTTTAGTTGGTGTACATCACTTCCTTGACTTCAGTATGCAATAATACTATAGGACGAACTGGTTTGGAACACGTAAACGGAATGAAGTTTTGAGAAGACGACTAGCAGAGCTGGGTTAGATCATCGAGTCATGTTTATATCAGTTGGTAATGGAGGCGCATGCAGTTTATAGTGTGTGGTTACTGAACAGCTAGAATCAGAAAAGGCTACTGGTGTCGAGAAAACGGAAATGATTACAAACTGTTAACTGGTTTGATATTCAGAGAGAGCGATATAATAGTTTTTCACAGGCACTACATTTGATCTTTTTAAATACATCAGGTAAAATGCTGGTTTGCTTTAAGTTTCATTATTCCTTTGATTTCGATACAAGTTTTTAAAAAAAGAGGAAGGCAAAGGTGCAAGTACCAGACTGATTAGATTAGCGTGTCGTCAGTGCATAGTTGTCATGCGGATTACACTGCTATGCTATCAGAAAGCAGGCTCGTTTCCAGTTAGCCTCCACTTTAGCGAGATTTAGCACCTTGTGATGATACCGTTTGGTGCAGTTAAGCCACCTGCCACTGATGCATGATGGGGTTAAATACATGGTATGATGAAGCTGACAACATGTTTATGTCATCCCAGGCCCTTTAAGGTCCTCATCGGGCCCCGTTCTTCAGATCCTTTTTTTTTTTAATAGGGCCAATCGAACCCCAGAGTGAAATATGGGTTTGTAAAGAGTTAAGCATAATAAAAAAAAGTAGCATTCTACCTGTAGTCAAACCTGTAGTTTTCCAGAGCAGTGAATGGGCGTATACTTCATTTAGTTGTGTTTTTTGGCTTTTCACATTTTGAAATGTCTTACCCTGATATAAAGCCGTATTCCTGCCTTAAACCATCCAGTTCTCTGTTCCCGCTTCAAACGAACAAATGAAAGTTAGTGATGCAATGCCCACAAAAATGGGGACATAAAAATGACAAAGGCCTGCGGGACCTTTATTCAACCCTGTTTCAGGACTAGCGTTGATGTTATTGAATGGAAAATGTTAACATACCACTAAAAGGGTCATTGATTGTGGAAATGTAGAACGTTTCATGTTCATCACATTGAGTTTGGAAATATTCAGATTGTGTTTAAAATGCCACAAATGACTATTATTTTACAAAATGTGTGTAAACAAAACGAGACAGTATAACCTAAAAACCAACTTGAAAAGCGATTAAATGGGATGGAAAATTGTTTGACTCTGAACCTCGTCCATTTATCGTGAACTAAAGTCAAAGTTCTTCTTCTTTTTAGTGTTTTAAACAACCATCAAGCGATCTTCGTGTGAGTTATGGTCAATGAGAGGGGCAATGTAAAATCGAGTGAGGAATGGCTTTATCGACGCCTCGTTGTGACCAACCTTCCCGTCATGTAACGCCGCTCGAGTGTCTTTGTGTGTGTGTGTGTATGTGCGTGCGCTGGTGGGCGGTGGAAGAAAGATGAAGAAGTTGAAAAGAAAAAAGAATCATGTTGCATATCAAGCGGTTTATTTTCCTGCATGGAATGGTGAACACAAAAAGATGCCTAGATGCATTTATAATAGGGGCATCCTTTGGCTGTCTATGTCATTGTCTTCTGCCTAAAACTAATTTTAAAATGCATAAAAACGCTCTCTTCTTACCAACATCCTCAGAATTATCTAGATTTAGCTTCATCAACACTGATGCAACAAATAACCTTCAAAACATACAGCATACTTGTAACATCCATTTACAATGGGGTTTTCACCTCGGCATCCTACACTTTTCAAGTATAGGAGTACTTCTATACCATCGAAAGAAGAAATAAGTCCTTAAATACATACAAAAAGGAAAGCAAAAAAAAAAAAAATAGGAAACAGGAAGTTTTCAACTTAAATCCAGTTCCCCAGACAAACAAAACCAGTTCTATTTATGTGGCCTTAATACAAACAATCAGAAAATTCACAACACTAGTTTTTCCTCATTTAATCAATGTTACAAAAGTCCTGCATTATAAAATAGGGCAGCTTTAAAATCAGTGTAATTAATAAAACTATACAATATACAAACATCAAATCTCCCATACTCAGGTGCGTCCGCCCTAACTCTCGTATCTAATCGATTCGGTTTGTTCGCTTCTCCCGCGTCTTCTCCAACGTTGTACCAAAAAACTAAATTACACACACAACACGAGAACAAAACAGACTGCCCAAACTATTGCTCGAAATTCTTTTTCTCTTTTTTTTTCTTTCTTTAAAAAGGGTGCAATTTCGTCATTATCTTACACACACAGCCAATCTTGCTGATTAGATGCCAGGCTGCTCTAAACAAGGTTTTTGTGACAAAAAAAAAAAAAAATATCCGTGCAATCATGTTTCCCTTCGCTCTTTTAAGCCCTGGAAGCTTCTTTTTTTTTTTGTAAATTTTTTTTCTGTATTTTTTCTCAATTATCACAATTGACATTATTTTATATTTAGTGCAGACGATTAAGAAAGTAATGCCCAACTCATTTCTAAAAAGTAGGCAAGAACAATGAAAAAAAAAAAAAAAAAAAAAAAAATTCACGCTAAAAGAAACAAAATAAACAACAACTCACACAAGTGTAACTACTAAACCATCACATCAGATGCCTGGGAAACTCATTCCCATCATTTTCTTTTCTTAAATGATATATGCAATAGAAAATAAACAGGTAAACAATTAATATAACATGGAACTTCGTCAAAATGTACATAAAAACTGGGCATATTTTTTTGTCCTGGACCTGTTTGCGCTTGTGTGTTTGTGATGGAAAGGAAGTTTCCTCCTTTTTAAGGCTTGATTATGACCGAAAAAAAGGAAAACGTTAATGAAGTGAGGCTGATCAATGGCGTTTTCTCGTGTCACGGGTATGAAAAGCACACTGACCTGTCAAGTGCTCACTTTGGTGGTGAAAAAAATTCAAACAAAAATAAAAAATGACTATATGAGTGCAAGCAAGTATTGCATATTCTTTTCCTCATTATTCATTGCTGGGAATGAAAAAACAACAACAAAAAACCCCAGGAAGACTGAAAAGAAAAAGTAGTCGTCGTTTAGAAATCGCAGCAACATCCATAAATATCGATACACCTGTGTTAAATCATTCGAAAAAAGGTTCGATGACATCAAAACCTCTGTTGGTACTTGGTGAATGATTGACTTTCGACTGATCGAAGTGAAAATGATGGGATTTTCGAAGCATTGGACGACCGATAGTGGCGAAATGTAGTTTAAAGGAGAGTAATACTGTGTATTATCATTGCTAATTTCACTGGTGGGGTGAAAATGTGAAAAAAATAGTCTCCACATTACAGCTTGTGCAATAACTCAGAACTAGACCATCGCTCAAGGCACATCGATGTGGAATTGTTCGTGCAGTTTGAAAAGACAATGAAGTGCGTACGTCGCTCTTGAGACATGAAAATGATTGTTCTGACGGGAATAAAGGAGGAAGCTGAGAAGAGTCAGAGAGATGTTTAGCTGGTTGATTGTGAGAACAGCAGTAAAAATACCCTTTTTTAAGGGACCAAACAAATAGTTGATCGGCAAGTGCCCGATGTTGGGATTACAATATTTTTCACACTACTTTAACTCTACGTAATCTATGTAAAAATGTATCACTAACACTAGAACATGCAGATTATTATTATTATTATTATTTTTTAAAACTTTACTGAGCTTTGATCGGTACGGTGGATGAGACTGTAAGTGTGTGTGTATGTGTCTATATATATATATATATATATATATATATATATATATTTTCGTACAGGAAACGAACAAAAACTCAAAAACAACAAAATTGCATGCGTGGGAAGCTGGATGCATTTTTTGATCTTCACATTTTCTTCAAAGTTTTTGCAAGGAAGTTAGTTCAGTATTTCGCCCCTTGCTTTTTACGTGTTTCCTTCCTTGCGTTCATGATTTCGCAAACTGCTAATTTTCTGCGTACATTATGTGCTTGGTTAAATTAAAACAATTGCTGTAGCGTTTTGGAAACGAACTAGCAGGAATCCTAAAAACAGTGATATTTCTTAAAGGGAGATTTGTTCTACAATGCTAAGAAAGGATGAACAAACAAACATAAAAAACAACAAAAGAAAAATCAATTACAGCTCCCCTTATTTCTCACAAGGCTATTTGTTCTATTTTTCCTCTTTACGTGTTTTACTTTTTTTTTTGTACCCCGATATTTTAGAGTCCTGGAGGTGTGAACGGACTAGGAAGAAAAATATATATATTTATATATATATACTTTTCAACAATCGCTTCAACGATCTATCTTACAAAGATATTTAACAATCCAACATCTACCCAACAAAATTGCACTTTCCTCAATTCAGTATTCACTGTTAACCTTTTCTTGAAGTTTATGGAAGATCAAACCTTCACTCGGCCCTTGGTGTGCGACAGACCTTCCGATGGGGTTTAGTAGAAAGAATCGCAATGATTTTTGTACGAAAAACACAAAATATGAACATGCCTCCAAGTGGGGAGATCTCCCATTAGTATACTGTAAAATGACCTGATATCAAACATCACTGTTCATGACTTCTTCATCGCCTGCCCCAAAATGAAAAAAAAAAAATGAAAAAAAACAGAAAAAATGGGAGCGAGGGGTTCGGTTGAGTCCTTGAAAGGGTTCTTGATCTGACATGGTGTTGATGGTGGTGGTGGTGATGATGGTGGAAGGGGGAGGAAATGGTCCTGGTCAGAAGACGCAATGGAGATTTTAGCTGGTGGTATATCTGACCCAGGCAAAACCTCCAACGTTCACGATACGAAACCGGATTGATCCGTCAAAACACGAGTGATTGAAAGGCAGAGCTCCGACCTCCAGGTGGTTGTGGGTTCGCGACCCTTGGCCGCAGACTGTGTTTGATTCGAAACGCCTCAGACTTCTCTTTAAGACCACAGGCACAGATGCGGGAAGCTCTTTGATTGTGTCATGTTACGTTTTCCTCGTCTATCTGTGAGGGTAAACCAAAAAATACAAAACAAAACAAAGAAACATAAAAAAAAAAACGTGCACGTTTCCGAGAAAACAAAGCTCTTGTTTTTTTTGTTTTTTTTTTCGAGCTCCACCCTCAGAAGAGCTGGACAGCTACTATATATGAATATAGGCATGTAAACCATACATATGGAAGAATACATATGGACTATATAGATATATAGTAAGTGGGTGTAAGCGCGTTGAGTCGGTTCCTCTTGTTCCAGGGCTTGGCGGGGTTCTGCTGGAGCCATGCTGTGGGTCTGTCCAGTACTGGGGCAGCAAGTGGCTTCTCTCTGTTCAGACTGGTGTACATGTTTGCGGGTCGTACTCAGGGGAGACAGAGGGGGTGGTCGTGTGACCTCGGGAGCGGCCGGTCCGTGTCGGGAGTCTTTAGCCCAGGTACCACTGCAACAAGACAGAGAGGAACAACATTGGTTAGGTTTGGTGTGAAAGTTAACCATTCATTGATTTCAGTATCATCAACGCCGAGTGAACTATTCAATGACGTTCAATGGTGTTAACTGGCTAATTTCATCAATTTTTGGGCTGCAATCTGACCTTTTCTTTTTAAATATTACTTTTTTTCTTTTATTACACTATTATTCAGAAGTTTGAGGTCAGTAAGATTTCCATTTCAAATAAATGTCTATTCATCAAAATCAGTTTCCACAAAAACATTAAGCAGCACAACAAATCCGCATATAAGAATGATTTCTGAAAGATCATGTGACAATGATGCTGAAAATTCAGCTTTGCATCACAGGAATAAATTACATTTTAAAATATACTCAAACAGACAAGTTATTTAAGATTGTAATCATTTTTCACAATATTACTGTTTTTACTGTATTTTAACAAATAAATGCAGCCTTGATGAGCAAAAGAGACTTCTTTCAAAAGCATAAAAATGACCCCAAACTTTTGTATTTGTGTATTTGCACTGTGTACACTGTGTATTTGATTATTTAAATTAAAATTTAAAAAGCATTTATATTCAACTTTTTTAAAATGTATTTTTAAAATAATGTATCCATTATTAAACATTATTTTGGCATTGCAATTTTATAATTTTCTAAATATTGTTTATTAAATAAAGTCCATTTGTGATATACTTGTAAAATGTAAAGCTATAATAAAAAGAAAACGTTACTAAAATGCTGTTTGATAATAAATAGAGTAATATAGTTTTACCTATCTTACTTACTTTCTTAATACACATTCCTGGTTTTACTGTGCAAGATTCACCAGTGCATGTTAATTTAAAACTATTGTTTTATCCTCGAAATGTATTCAACACCTCCCTTCCAGCCACCTCTCATATACAGTAAATATCACTTTTCATGATTCTATCCATTCTCAATGGATAAAATCAAGCCCCGACCTAGATTTTCTCATTATACACTTTCAAAATTACAGCACACCACAGAAGTAAAATTAGTTGTTGTAATGTTGACTAAGATCCCCCAAACCTTTTGTTTTGACTTTCTTTGGCGGGTTTAATGCTTTTTATAACCTGTAATTCACACCCTGAACATCAGTACCTGAAATACACTGCCAAAAAGAAAATCAGAAAATGTGTGTTCTTTTCTTGTGGGATCACTTATGTCTCGTGTATCAGGTCTTAAGATGGTGCTTGACTCTGTGAGGGCTCAGCTCAACAACATTTTCTTTTCCTGCTCCTGTCCATCTCTGAATGCCTTTGCAGCACTTTCCGCCACACGGCGTCTGTCTGTAGACTGGAGTGGTGAGGTTAGCGAGCTGCACCCTGTAATCCTTCAGTGAAATGGGCTTATTGATTGCTGTGCTCCATTGTTCACGTTTCCAGCAAGTGAGCAAGTGTCGTTCGGTGCTCGCCCACTTTTTCACTCCGTTCTCCCCTCCCCTTTCCAACTTCCCTCCTCCCACCAAGTTCAAGTTCATCCTGGTGTTACATCATGTCTGGTTGCCAGGGACAACCAGACAGCCGTATACGTGACTATCATTAGCAAGGCCGGGCCTCACGCCTCCTTATCCCTCTTTCTTTCTCTCCCTCTCTGAGCCCTCTTTCCCTACTCCCTGTCTTACTATTCTCTTCCTGTCCGGCGTTCTGTCCGAGTGATCCGCCCCATCCGGCCTCTGCTGCAAATACACACGCTATTGATTCAGTGTTTGCAGTGATTCACATGCTCCTCCCACTGCTCAATTCATAATGCTTACACACTGTCCACCAATCACCAGCCTTGATTAATTAATCCCACTGAGTTTTCATCCAATCAGAGAGAAGCATTCAAGGACTGCCGATTTACTACCCTGCACACAAGACTCACTTTCTTGTTTTCTGTTATTATTGCAAATTGAACCAACTAATTGCAAACTTTCAATGTTTCAAATATTACATATATATATATGTATGATAGATAGATAGATAGATAGATAGATAGATAGATAGATAGATAGATAGATAGATAGATAGATAGATTTGATGGACATGCATCACACTGAAGGTGTAATATGTAAATATTTCATTAAGCATTTTTAAATAATGCTCTTTTAATGCATTATATAAATAGACTTCAAATAAAGTGCATTTATATTTTTGTTATATAATAGATCTAATACTCCACACTAAAAGCATAAGTAAATATTTCATTATGTGCAGTGTGAATATTTAAATAATGCATCATATAAACAGTGTATTTTTTTTATTATTTTTTATTATACTATATAGATATTATACCCAACACTGAAAAGTGGATATTTTGGTATGTAAAATCATATACTACATAAGATAAAGGTATATGTAAGTATTATTTATTTAAAATAATTATATACATTTTTGAAAATTTTATTAATGCATTATATACATTGACTTTAAATATAAAGTGTCATTTTTTTGGTCTATGGAGTGTATTTAATTTAATATTACATAATATTTACATACCATACTTCCAAATACAGTTTATATACAGTCTGTAAACATATAAAGTGCTTTATTAAAACATTCAAAAGACATTGATAAAGATATTAAAATATGCATAAACCTACATATTCTGTTTTTATAGGTGCATATAATATCTATATCCTATAACTAGTTATTTTTTAACAGATTATAATGTGCATTTTAAATACATTAATATTGCATTATATATACTGTCTAGGCTTCATTGAAAGCTTCAGCAGGCTAATGCGGTAAATGATCCAAGGTAGTTAAGAACAATGAAATGATTTGCGAGATTGAGTGGATTCTATCAGGTTGGACATCGGCGTGGAAGGCTCAGGCTTACGGCTCGTTTAAATTCTATTGCTCACCGCAAGCGCAGCGGAGAAACTGGAAGGTTAGTTTTTAATCAATAGAAGTTGCTGAGTCTGGACTTCTGCGCTCCGGTGCAGTGCAGCTTCCTTGTGTCTTTGTCTATCGGCTCGACCGCTCTGAAACTTTCCCTCCCCCTCCCTCCCTCCCTCCCTCCCCTGTCCTGAGAAGACTTTTGGAGACGGCGTTCTGCACAGAGAGCAGGAGCGTGTAAGCTTCTCTCCGATACTCCCCGTAACTCTGTGGACAGTGGGCTTATGTTACCACACAGAGGGGTGTGCTGACAGCTAGGATTTAGTCTGCAGATATCCAGCACGCAGGGGGACCAGACAGACAGACAGACAATATAGTGTAAAATTACAACCTGTCATTCTCACGTTTGCAACATGGGTGGTCTTTCATAACCAGAACAAACGCAACTAAATTAAGAGACAAAACTATGTGCATATCATTTAAAAACTATATTTCGACATAGACTGTGGAATATTTTTCACAGATCGACCAATATGATACAGGTTCTTTCACTGGTTAAGCGACCAGTAACCAATAAGCAAAAAACAGTAAAATAATGGACTACAACACATATTGTGAATATTATCAATGATCCCTATTATGATTAAGATTAGTAGTAAAATACTACTATTACAAACAATAACCAATTGTGTATAAAAGTGTAAACATCTGTAAAAAACTAAACTCTAGTTCAAAACTTGCCCGTAGCACAAACGGCGTGGGATGAGCTATGGGTTTATGGGTTTTTTCAATTCCCAAACCCTAAGTGTAATCAATAATAATGATGATTCTTGTCTTAGCAAGCACCACTAATGAATCTTTTCATTAGCTCTCTGCTCAAAAAAAGTTCTCAAAAGTCCTTTGCGGTGATGTGGAACGCTGTGCCAGAAGAATTAAAGTGGTTTCACACACACACATCCGTATCCGTTTTATAGACTCTCAACTAATGGATGATGGTTAGATTTAATTAGGGGTGACAGAACTTAGACTGGTGTAAAAACGTACGCGGAATAAAACATCAAGTGTAAAAGGATCACTTCCTAACAACAATGATGCATTGTGGGATAGCTTATCTTGAACCAGGAAGACCATGTGAGCATTGAGACACAGTGCACAATGAAACACAACAGCAATCCCAGTATCTCTTCCTTTATCTCTCAGGGGACCAAATCGGGAAAGAGCGAGATCGGGAGTGAAAAAAGCATGATTCAGCGTAAAAATGAACGTAACAGTGGTATAAGGGAGAGCCAGACATCCTGAGGGGCAAACACGAAATGATGAAATGTTTGTGCGACTGATGACGACACCTCGGTCTGTTAAAACAACCACACAAACATCATCTCCGATTGGCCTCTTAATGGAGCGTTTCTTATTCCTAAAGGTTCTGTTTGGATGGAGCTTCAAGCCACCCACACAGAGTCAACGGGTGTATGTGTTCGCTTTGGCAGAAAGGATATGTACGGGATTAAGTCATTTCCATGCAACTACAATGACGTTCTGGCCTGCGGTTAGCATTAGCAATAGAGCTATAGAGGGTGGTTGTGGGGTTTTGAGATGTCCATTTCCCAAATGAATTGTACTTTTGAACCGTCTCTTTTTAACGATTCATTTGAGAGCTTATGAGTCAATTGGCTGTATGGGAGACCCTCACTTAAACACAAGAGTATAGGAAACTGCTGTGAATCCATTTATTTTTTAATTCTGATAGTGACGCAAGGATGTAGGCGATGCTCCGTCCATTTTTGTGACAAAAAAATTGGGAAAACTTTGAAAACGCAATACACTGAAGTAGAATTCGTAATGCAACATTTGAGACCATTTATATATTTAATTTGGACAAAAATGGTACAAATATTAATATATTTTAATATAATACAAGCATTTATAATTTTTTAATTGTAATAAATACATACACACAAAGTATAATATTTTTATAAAATATTTTTAGATATAAAAATATTCAAATTATATTAGAAATAATATTAATATATAAATTATAACAACACAATATATAATTATATATTGTATAAACTATGTGTGACAGAAATCACACTGCAGTTTTGCTTGGCTAATGTACTTATTAATAGATAAAGTATTTTTAAAA